TGAACCATTCATGTTTAGTATAGATATAACGTTGCCGGAGCACCGGTAGGGAACAGTATGTTGAAACGCGGCGACATGTGCGTGGGGTCGGCCTAATGTGAAGCATTCACTGAACGTATTTAGTTTCTAAGTGTTTGTTATTGGCATTGAATGCATGTATCAAATTGAAAGCCAGGTATTCAGTGTGCGCTCACTTTGAATGCCTGTCCACTCCTTTTGCACTAATATTCATGAAATTCATAGTACAGTACATGACCAGGATACTGCAATTCTCAATACTGATTAACAATTTCTACTCTTAAGTATAGTTGTTTATGAATATAACTGGATGTGTATATAAAAATAGTAGCAACCTAAGTTTAGATACATTGAATGAATAGCTTGCACACTTTTTATCGGTGATACTGTAAACGGGTCCATTTATTAATAATTTTATGAGAAAAAATTAAGTTTGATATGCTGTATATAAGCAATTTTAGATACAAACAAAATTAGATAACATTATTTTATTTGAGATACAAATCTAATACAATTGTCATTTAATTCAATTGGATTTTTGTTTATTTTTTGAGCGTTTAATATACGAGTGATAAAAGAAATTGAAAAACAATACAAAATATGAGAAATACATGAAAATCGCTGAATATATTGTCGTATAAGAGAGCAGACAATCAAATCGATTGGACTTCTTATGCAATGCATACAAAGTGGCGAAAACACCGAAAACCATTTGAATTAATTGTGAACTCGTTATGAACATTGCGATCGGTTTTGGGATTTTTATGTTTATAGCTCTCATTGCATAATAGGAGTACATAATGGCATGAATCATATAATTGACCCCTAAATACCAGCGCCCCGTAGAGGCCACGTCCCCGTATGCATACCTGTGCCATACAATTAGCAAAATTAGTGCATTACAAATAGAAAATTAGTGTATTTGTGGCAAACCATGTGAATAAGAGGACAGTTATGTGATGATACCAGTGAAGGAAAATAAGTTTCTGTTTGCGTAGGACAATGAACAGGGTGTCCCCCAATTCAGGCACTTTGGACATCACGAATAGCCAGGACCACACACTCGACACATTGACGCGTGTGATAAACCCGTTATCGCACACCGATTGTGCGAATCCATGCTCTCGTACCACATAAACCATTTCAGGCAATACCCTAAACCATAGTTTCAAAATGTTTAACAATATTACATATAAATTGAATTTAATAGGACCAATGTCTCTATGAAATGGTCATACAGTATAAGTTGGTATACCTAAGAGTTCCAGTGATGGAGAAAAGGGCTAAAAACAGATTCCATAGGAATAGAGTGGACCGCAACTGAAAGGGCTCTCGATTTCTCATCCATTGCTGTCCACTGAATATAAGCATCAGATAAGTGAAGATCCAGTAGAAGGATATCTTCCAGTTATCGGACATCCATTGAGTCGTGAGTTTGTAATCAAAATTGCGCTCAAATTCAAAAACATAACTATAATTTAGATAAAAACACTTTACTTGTAATAATTATAGTAAATTTAAAGAGATTAACTAATTGATAAGAATAATGTTATTTATTACTTATATTCAATGCTTTAATTGAGTGCAACAAACAATTTAGACAAACAATCACTAATAATATGTTTTCAATAAAGTATTAGTTTATATTATATTGAGCAATATTTAAATAAAAATATTAATATTAAATACCTATAATTTAAGTCTGTTGATTGATTCATCAAATAAGAAAATTAGAATTTAATATATTATTATTATTATTATTATTTAGTTTATATTATATTGAGCAATATTTAAATAAAAATATTAATATTAAATACCTATAATTTAAGTCTGTTGATTGATTCATCAAATAAGAAAATTAGAATTTAATATATTATTATTATTATTATTATAAAGTTATTAAAATAAAATTACGATTTTAGAGAATGGATTCACAAAAATTGATTTTTTGTTTTGACATCAAATCACTACTGAATTCATATAAAAATTGATAGCAATTGTCGTTTACATCAATCATTAAATATTTAGTATTAATATAACATTCAAAATGAAAGTAAACGTAATTTCCCGACAAAAAATATTGATTTAAATATTTACATATAATTTCTAATGTCATTTAATTCTGTTTTTATATTTTTATTGTTTTTAATTTTCTATTAGTAATAGACTATTACGGTATACTATACTGTACAGTGTTATATTGAAAATATAATTAGGATTAACGTATACACAATTATTGATTCAAACTAAATTTTTGCTTAAACAGTTGTTCAATGAAAATTATTTTTATAATTGAATAAAGTTTCCACGAAATCTCAATTTTATTCATTACATTGTGAAAAATAAATTTATACAGCAAAATATTATATTACACTGATCGGTACTTTCCAGTATAATAATTGAATTAATATTATATTTATACATTTATTGGAGAATTAGGTTAGACCCTGTACCTCTAGAATTATTATTTATAAAATATTTATGTTAATACGGCTGAGCATAGCATCTCTGCAATATTAATTTATCTGTTAATGAGAGCATTTTATTTTTCATTATACACTATTTAGTGAAATTAATGATATGATAAATTGAAAGTTAAAGCTTATTATGTGAGGAATTTTTAGTAATTGATAGGTTTTTAAAAATAGATTTCTTTATATAATAGTTTTGTAATGAAAATAATATGCAGTTTTTAAGGGTAAGACTTTTTTTTATTTAAGTGTAAATTGCTTCCTTTATAATCATTAAAACTTATACCGGAATTAATCATTAAATGGAAAAAATCCAACAAAATTCTACTTTATAAAAGTTTATTGATTTTTATTTTGTCAATCTCATGATTTTGTTTATGACTAAACTGTTAACAGTTTTATTTTAAATTCTATATAATTAAATAATACTTTTAAAATTGAGTTAAAATTAAAGTGTCAATAAATTGTCTAAATAATAAAGTATTTTAAACAAAAACAGTTGTATAAGTTACACCAACATTGTATTTATCATGATTTTGATACAACTTTAGAAATATATTTCAATACATTTGGGGAAATGTAACCATTTATTTTATGAATAAATTGCAAATAAGTTTAAATGTTAAAATACACAGGCATTTTAACAGTATAACTAATGTTATTTGTACGTACGCTTCATTAGTTAACAGGCCATTACAAATGCAACACTTATTATACCTAATGCTAAATTAATTTGTTTATAAAATAATGTGTCGCTCAATCATCTGTAAAGCAATTAATCCAATTAAAGTTTACTTGAAACCATAATTATTAGAAAACTCGGAGCATTGCAAACAAAGAACTTGAAATTTTGGTTAATTTACAACAATTTAATTATGCAGTAAATGATTGATTTCCAACAAATAATAGAAAATGGGTTTTCATTTTCATTGATTTAAAGTATATTTTCTCAAAATTACATTTTTTCACATAATTATGTCATTGAAAGCTATAGAAAATGTAAAGTAATTTTAAATAAATTTTAAGCTAAAAAGTGGAATAAGTTTTTTAATGAGTACTGATGTGTGAACTCATGCTTTAAATTCTTTTACAATTACATCAGAAAGGCTTTCATATAATGAAAAATATTAATAAAAATTTAATTCTAATTCTAATCAGATTTGATATATTATTTATAAATGACCTCAAAATGAAATATTATTCTACTTTTAGAGTTAATTTATAATTATAAAGAATTTGGTTACTAATAACAAATAAATATTAAATATATTCTGTGATTAATAATTAATGTATAAAGCATTTAAAATACACATTTATTTTATTTAACAAATTTGATTAATTAAGTGAGTGAGTAAGAGGTGGACCGCTAGAGACAAATACGGACACATCGGTGCATACATTTGAGTGAANTTTTATTTAACAAATTTGATTAATTAAGTGAGTGAGTAAGAGGTGGTGAGAGAGAGAGAGAGAGAGAGAGAGAGAGAGAGAGAGAGAGAGAGATTTAGGTAAGAATTATGCGAAGTTTTCTCGGGAAAGGACCCCAAAAGCGGTGGTTTATAGTGAATGTGAAATGAATGCGCAAGTGTTGGATGTGTTGTCAAGAATAGGGCCAAAAACCAGTCTTTTCTCTGCATTTTCTTCATTTGGCATAATATGTGTTGTACTCCAAGACAGACACACATAGAGTCAGTGCTCACTATTACATGAGAAGCCAATGAATGGTCGAAAACCCGTAAAACGACTTTTATTTTATGCCTCGCATTGTGTTTATTATCAGATTTTTATAACTTATTATAAGTGATGACTGACTGCGAGTTAAACATAAAAATAACATATATTTAGAGACAGAGAGAAAAGTGAAGTAAAAATAAAATTGCGATTACGAGTGGATTCAGTTGTTATAAGTGAAGCAATGGCTCAGTGGAAGGCATACCTCAGTGGAAGGCATACCTCAAACTGGATATCACTTCATCGATGACCTGATTTTCATCTTCAGTCAGTCCATACGATACGAGATTTATGTTTAGTTTGACTCCAGATTTGCTTAGAAAGTGATTGTCTCTACACTAAGCACTCACTTCCAGTCGATTCCCACCGCTATTGCCGACCGACCAGTGCTTCCCATGATTACCAATATGTGTGTATTGGATATCATTATTACTTAATGATAGCTCACATCAATACACCTGTCATTTAATCCCATATTTATAAATACTTCACTCAAATGTATGCACCGATTGTATAATGAATGGCCACCAAAAAACATATTAAGGTATTTATTATCTAAATTCTAATTATTGTGTCATGTTCAATTTGTGTGTTTCACTTAACTATTTGCATTCATCTCATTTACATGAGATTTGAATTTTATTGTCACAATTATTTATGCATTTATTTGTGGTTAATATGTATTGGATGTGAATACAGAATAATTTAACAGTTAATACCAATAATACCTAATGAATATTGATCTGATAGGAGGTTATAGACCTGTCGTATCCTATTATACCAAATATTATATCATATAACATATCATATATATCCTATTATAACATTTCTATGAATTTCATGATATATTAGGTGTAATTCCATATGAATACAGGGATTTGTATTTAAATAAATTAAAATACAATTAAATTATTGATTTTAAGTAAAATATTAAATCAGAATTAAATATTTATGCATTTATTTGTGGTTAATATGTATTGGATGTGAATACAGAATAATTTAACAGTTAATACCAATAATACCTAATGAATATTGATCTGATAGGAGGTTATAGACCTGTCGTATCCTATTATAACAAATATAACATTTCTATGAATTTCATGATATATTAGGTGTAATTCCATATGAATACAGGGATTTGTATTTAAATAAATTAAAATACAATTAAATTATTGATTTTAAGTAAAATATTAAATCAGAATTAAAAATACAGTATTATTCACCTAATCAACAATCTATGATTAATCTGTAAAATAAACAATGGAAATTTTAAGCTAACAAATTATTATACTACGGTACAGTATATCTTACATTACAATAAAATATAAATTACTTAAACAGATATCATTTAAATAAACAAAAGTCGTGATTGAAATGAGTTATATTATAATCGTATGAATCAATGCATTGATTAACTGTCTGTTTGTATGTCTGTGTAAAGGATCGGATAGTGATAGCCCGGCATAACTACATTCCCATCGACTCTCACACAGACCTACCGCTAGAGAAAGCGGAGGAATATGTGATACTAGACTCGACGGGCGAGTGGTGGACCGCTAGAGACAAATACGGACACATCGGTCTCATACCATCCAATTATGTTGAGGAGAAACTCATCATTAGTAGCGATTCGCTCACTAAATACGAGTGGTTTTCGCCGCATTTGGATAGAGACCAGTCGGAGACCATACTGAGGGCCGACAACAGGGACGGAGCCTTTTTGGTCAGACTGTCCGCCACCGAAGAGAAATGCTTTACTATCAGCCTATTAGTCAAGAAGTATGTCATTTCTTATGTCATTAAGTTAGTGTGCAAATGATTGTATATATTGTAATTTATATATTTTGGATATTTTGCGAAAGGCTATGAAATTTACACAACTATAAAAGTTGTCTATTTTTAACTCATTTCTTATTTCATAAACAGATTAATTATATTTTTATAAGATTTTTTTTATGTCAAACTCTTAATTATATTTTCGGATTATAATTTTAAATGTTTTCAATTATTCGTTATATTGAATTTACAATGAAATGTATAAATTGATTGTTGTTTTAGCGGAAACCACAGCGAAATCAAACATTACTTAATACAGAGGAGTAATGAGGGCTCGTATTTCATACGACAACAGGAGTTCTTCTCGTCGGTCGAGGAGTTGATTACATTTCATCGGCAAAGTAGAGGACATTTGGCCACAAAACTCAAATACGTGCCAAAAGCCAACATCAATAACCTGGTCAACGATTTGCGAAATCTGCACATTACTAAAGGTATTGAATTGTGTATTGTTTTCATTTATTTGCCCGTAATTTCCTTTTTATTTTTTGTAAACTTGTATTTTACTTATAATTCTCTATTCACATCATTTGCATATGTTTTTGTTTTACTCCGATATAATAAACTAATTTATAATTATAATGTTTAATAACACAAACAATTTCCTTTGCTTTTGTAGCAAATTCACGACTTAGTCATTGAATGCTAGCCATTGATATCGTTATTAATTTCTTTTATGATATCAAATGAAACAAAGAAATACATTAAAACATGAATAATATCTGAAAATAGTTTTCTATTGAAATAAGTTTTGGCACAAAATATAATCCACTTTTTCAATGATTTCTTATTCTTTAAGTTTTATGTATAGTTTTTGCTATAACTTGTTGAATGTATGATCAATATTGACAGACAAGTCGTGGGAGATCCGGGCCAATGAGTTGTCACTGTTGGAGGAGTTGGGTTCGGGACAGTTCGGTGTCGTGAGACACGGCAAATGGATGTCCAAAGTGGATGTGGCCGTCAAACTGATGAAAGAGGGCACGATGTCTGAGCACGACTTCATAGAGGAGGCCAAAGTGATGACCAAATTACAGCACCCGAACCTCGTCCTACTCTACGGCGTGTGTGTAGAGCACCGACCCATTTGTATTGTCACTGAATTTATGAAACACGGTATGAAAGGAGTCTTGTTTTTTGAAATAATAATACAAAAAGTAAATACAAGTTTAGGGGAAAACGTAAAGAAAAGTCAGACAAAGTTTTTTGTTAAGAAATACAAAGTTTTTGTAGAAATGATTGTCATTTAAATGCAATTCAAACAGAAAGTGATGCGTAAAGAGTGATATAGTTTTGTTTGAGTTGAAGGGCCCAAACAGTCATTAATTACAACATTTAAGTTGTTATCCACTTTTGAAATGCATTTTTCGGTACAAAAATAGGTTCATTGCTATCGTATTTGAGAAAACACGAGAATAGGCTGAGACAGAGGCCCACATCGTTGCTGGATATGTGCGTTCAGGTGTGCTCTGGGATGGCATACTTGGAAAGTCATAATTACATTCACAGAGATCTCGCGGCCCGTAATTGTCTGGTGGGCGACAATAATGTGGTAAAAGTGGCAGATTTTGGACTCACCCGGTATGAGCTCTTATGTAACTCCTCACCACATATCTCTTAATTAAGAGTAAAAACTATTATTTATTTATTTATTCACTTTTGTTCAGTGCCTACAAGTTCTGTATAATAGCTGTATATTCCCTATAAGAACTCATTAAATAGCATTTCACTTGTTTAGTGGTGAAAACTATTTGCTTTTAATATTAAATACAGTATATAGTATACAGTAATACAGTACATAATACAGTATAATATTAAATGTATGAAATATTTTCTAGAACATTATTTAAGAAATATTTAAAAATAATTAAAAATTTGTTTAAAATATTTCATTGCTTGACATGCATTTGTCACTCAATTATGCATACATTCAATCAATATTTGAATTTTATAGATGCAATTAAATTGCTATAATTTTTATTTTTAATTAAATTCAAACAAAACAAATATAAATAATGAAAAATTGTTTTATTAATGATTGAAAACAAATGAATAACTAATTGATTATTAATCTCATTATCTCGGCTATAGTTATGTGATAGACGATGAGTACACATCAAGTGGTGGTACAAAGTTTCCCATCAAATGGGCGCCTCCGGAGGTGTTGTGGTACACGAGATTTAGTTCAAAATCCGATGTCTGGGGTTACGGCATATTGATGTGGGGTAAGTCATGTTTAGAAATACACTCTTTATTCGCCATACATTCAAATTATGGGTCCATTATTAGTGGGAAACTAGTTTTTGTGGATTCGCTATCAAAACAGATCAGTACTTCTGACATAAATTAATAAAAAAGCAAAACTTTTTAAACTAATAACAAATTTTGTTTATTATTCAATAAACATAATCCCAAAAAATAAAACTTTGTGTTTTAGAAAAGTGTATGAACTTTGGTTTATTTTAATCTAATAATTATTTTCACAATTTAAAGAATAATTTTAATTAAAATATTTTAATTTTTAACAAATATATTATAATCGTTGATTCTGAAAGTCATGATTTACTCATTAAGTTTGTTATATTTTTTTGGAAATTTTAAAAATTAAACATAAAACAAAAATTTCAATGAAAAAATAATTTTTCTCTTGAGAATAACGTTAATTACTTTATAATAATAATTATTTAAAACATGTCTTAAAGCAATAAAGAAAATAAAAATTTCACTTTCATTTTAACTATCATTAAATATTTACATCAAACAGTTTGATACAGTTTTTGCGATCCCAAACAAATAAAACACATAATAATTATTATTATTAAATGCTATGTATGTCTCATGTATTATGTAAGATATAGTATGTTTTAAAATATAATATAAAATATTTATAGCATAATTAGCGATATTCTGTAGACAATTAACCAATACATTGCTAGCAAAATAATTATTGATTCACTTCAGTGTTTGTTTTAATAAATCTTTGTTATACATTAAAAACTATAATTTCAAATCTCACGTTTGGCTATATTACATATTATGACCAAATTGTAATTCAAATGCAATAAATTTCTAATGGATACCTTTGAGAGTATATTTTATAGACAAAAATATTTTTAACAGTCATTTAATGCAAAAATCCTGCATATAATTGACGTGAGAATGATTTTATAGCTTTTGAATAACTCAATAAATTTATTTATAAAGTACTGACTTATAATGACTTTTGATGGGATTAACACTTAACTGTTTAATTTGTTAAATAAAGTTATATTTTTGACTTCAATTGTATGATAAATATAAATATGGAGTTTAAGAAAACAACAAAAACTAGTATTCAGTTCAAGCAATGAGGAAATGCATGAAAAAACTGCGAGAAAACTGATAATTAATTCTTGAAATGATTTACAAATAAAAAATCAAAATTTAATATCTAATGATTGAATTAAATACAGAACAAATCAAATCATTTAGTTATGAAAAAAAAGTTCAAAATATTGAAACAAATTGTTTTTCTTGACGAAAAACTACACAAATTATATTTTAGGCTATGATTTACTACTAGTTCCCCATATAGTGCCAAATAGGGCGCAACAATCATATAGTTTTGCATTTCGACACATATTTTCACAATTCAATGATTCAACACACGATTAGTCACTAAAAGTTTTATTTTTAATTGTAATATATTTATCCCAAATATTACAGAAGTTTTCAGTTGCGGTAAAATGCCGTACGGGAGGCTCAGCAACGCACAGGTAGTCGAACAGATCCGTGAGGGACACCGTTTAGAGAGACCCCGTTCCTGTCCTCGAGAGGTCTACCATATGATGAAACTGTGTTGGGAAGAGCAGCCGGAGGACAGGCCGTCGTTCAGCAAATTGGGGACATTACTCGAGAATCTGTTTTGTTTCACTGAAATCATCCAATGAATGCAATGATTGTGAATGTATTTCCCAAATATGACTACAATTTTATTGAATGCAATATTTATTAATCAAAACGTTTGAGATTTTGTAATCTATAGTCACTCTACGTATTCCAAGTTTTTCTATTAAATTATATCAAGTTTTTGTACACTTTTCATTGTTTTCATACAATTGTAATATTTGTCTCATTCCTGTATCTAATTCTCAATTTTTGTAACTTTATATCATTTGTATGGAAATTATTTGACTTTAAATTTAAATTATTGTAATTCTTATGGAATATTGAATTATTGTGTAAATTATAGTCAATCAAAACTAATTCCATATTTAATCGTGTCATTGAAAATTGCCAAACATTAATAAAATAATTTATTACCTAGTTTGATATATAATTTAACTCAAGTAGAATATCTAGATTCTAGAACCACATTTACCTAATGTTTTATTATTTAAATAATTATTGAAATGGATGTAGAAAGTATTTTTAATATGTTTTTAAAATATTTATAAAAAGGACTCAATTTTTAGTACATCGAGGTCTATTTGTACAAGTACAATATTATACGTTTCATTTCGTTTTCTATATAATAATTTAGTATATTCATAGAGTTTATACTAAATTTGCACTTAAAGTTCCTGATAATAGGTGCGATATTGCCATGATAACATCTAACGTGTAATGCTTAACAGCGCTAAGTTTATTAATCTCTTTAAAATAAAACTATAAAGCTCAGTTAAGACGAGTTCTTAAGTAATTCTATATAAACATAATTATTTGTGTCAAACATCACTCCAGTCTATAATTTGATAGTAAAAGTTTGAAGTTTTAAAAATGAGTTCTTCCGATAAGTCTTCACTAATTTTTAGTCCTTTAAAAATAAGAGGCATTACTTTAAAGAACAGGATATGTGTGGCACCGATGGGTATGTGCTCTTGTGATGATGGAGTTCCCAATGACTGGCATTTAGTACACTACGGCTCATTCGCAACGGGAGGCGCAGGACTTGTGATGATTGAGGGGAACAGTGTTGAGAAGAGGGGTCGAGTGACTGCGGGATGCGCTGGCATTTGGAGTGACCATCAAATCGAGCCGTGGAGGAGAATAACAAAGTTCTTGAAATCTGAGGGATCGGTGCCGGCCATACAGTTAGCACACGCCGGACGTAAAGCCTGTACTCAACCAGTCGTCAACACTTCAATAGCTGACGAGGATGGCGGGTGGCCTACTATAGGTCCCAGTGCTGTACCCTTTAGTAAATCTCTTTGGAAAGTACCAAAAGAGGCCACAATTGAAGACATTGAAGAACTCGAAGAATCTTTTGTTTCTGCGGCCAAACGAGCGGTTGAAGCGGGCTTTGAGGTAAGGGTTTGTCATATATTCATATTAGGAGTTAATTATGAATATAATTTATAAATTAATATCAGGTACTGGAACTCCACTTCGCACATGGATACCTCGTCAGTAGCTTTTTATCACCCCTTACTAACCAAAGGACAGACAAATACGGCGGTAGTCTTGAAAATAGGATGCGCTTTGGTCTCGAAATTGCATCAAAAGTCCGAAAGAGTATTCCCGAAGACATTCCCATTGGAGTCAGGATTTCGGTCACCGATTACGCGGACAACGGATGGGATATAAAACAAAGCATTGATTTCGCAAAAGAGTTGAAGAAAATTGGTATCGATTTCATTGACTGTAGCTCTGGGGGTGTTGTCTCTTATGTTGATTATAACTTTTTGAACACAAATGTGGTTCAACTGAAAGGCGCGCAAAGTATTCAGAAAGAGGTGGGAATAGCGACCGCAGCCGTCGGCAAAATAACTGATCCGCACTTCGCAGAGAAGATATTACAAGAGAATGGGGCGACACTTATATTCAT